GGGGTTCAGGGTATGGGAGGTGACTGCGGGATGAGGCAGGGGGTTGGAGTGTGTGGGAGGGGTGAGGGCTCCATCTGGGGATGCAGGCTCTGGGTGGGGCCGAGGATGAGGGGTTTGGGCTGTAGGAGGGGGCTCCAGGTTTCGGGGCAGCTCAGGGCTAGGGTGGGGGGCTGAGGCGCAGGGTTTGGGGGTGGGATTACCTCCAGCGGCTCGCAGTCAGCGGCGCAATGGAGGGACTAAGGCAAGCTCCCTTCCTGTCCTGGCAATGCGGACTGCGTTGCACTCCGGAAGCAGCCAGCAGGCCCGACTCCTAGGCAGAGGCACAGCAGGCGGCTCTGCACACACTGCTCTCGCCCGCAGGCACCACCCCCAGTGCTGACTGGAGCCGCCAGGGTCCCTTTCCGACTGGGTGTTCCAGTCGAAAACCGGACACTTGGTCACCCTACTCCTTAGGTGGGCCAAAAAACACAAAAAACTGGCTACCCAACCTATGCAAAGTACTGATGTGCACCCATGAAAATTAGATTTAAAAAAATGTAAAAGGTTGGGTAGCCAGAAAACACAGATAATGAAACTATTCAAATATATCTTAGAAATACAGTAACACATGCACTGGTGTTGGAGCCAAAGGATGAGGTAACACACTACATGTTAGTGAAGTCCCAACTCCTGGAGTAACACACAGAGTCTATAAGAGAAGGTGGGGTGAAGAAGGGGGGATGCAATGAAATTAACAAAGACAATGTGACTTCAAGGGACTGGCTGGGACTTTGACTGGACTGATGGCCTTAACATTGAGAAGAAGGGGCCAAACATTGCAACTTAGGTGCCTAAAGTTTGTCACCAAATCCTCATTTGGGCACCTTAGTAATTAAACTGATTTTCCCTGGGTGCCCAATACTGAGAGCTCAGACCAACTTGGTAGGTGCCTAACTTTAGGCATCCCGGTTTGAAAGTCTTGACCTAAATCATTATTTAGGAACCCCAGTATAAATTGCCCAGATCTGGAATTAGGCACAAACCACAACTGGACTGACCACTGCAGCGCTTCACTGTTAAGTACCCAGCCTCCCAGTGGAATCCCCAAACCCTGTGGTAATGTCTAGGCTCCTTATACAATGCATGGGGAGACACGGGCACCTGACAATGGGATCTACTAAAGCCAGCATGCTGAGTGGGGAACAGCCTAAGCTAGCCAATAGCAGACACTGAGGGGATGGTGTGTCCCCTAAGCTCCACCCCTCTCAGGGACTTAGGTGCCTAAATCCAGGCTGGAAGGAGGTGCCTCTCTCTGCTTGTGATCCATAGTTAGAACCATCTCCTAGAGTCAGGGGCCTGAGACGTCTCTTGCAAGAACAGTGATGCTCACCTAACTCCACTTAAAAGGACTGAAGAGGGGTCACCTTCTAATCTTTAGCCCAGTGGTTAGGGCATGCACCAACTCCCCGCTCTGTTTGAGAAGAAAGGATTTGAACAAGGGTTTACCCACCTCTCAGGTGAGTACCCTAAACATTGGACTATAGATTCACCCTCTCTCTGGCCCCGTGAGGATTTAAGCATTTAATACAAAGTTGAACAGTTTCAACCTTGAGAAAGCCCTACAACAGGCAATCCTGCAGTCCAGTGGCCAGTGCACTCTCCTGAAGGGCGTGAACCCCAAGTTCAAACATCTTTGCCACAACCAGCAGATGGAGGAATTGAACTGGAGTTTCCCTCATCCCAGGTGGGCATCTTAACCATTGGGCTAAAGGTTATGTAGAGGACCACCTCCTTCCTCTCCTCCATCACCCCTTATGCTCGACCAGAAGCACTATTCCATACTTGGCAGTTTAAGCTTTTTGCCAACTTGACAATATTGTTAGAAATATCCGTCTAAGGCATGTTCATGTCTAACCTTTTTTTATTTTATGATTTCCTCTGGTTTTCTGAAGGGAGGATAGCCTTGTTTTCATCCACCC